AGCTTACGTAATCCTCACAACAACCCTATGCAGTAGTTAATAATGCCATTCCCATTTTATACATGAGGAAGCCGAGAGGCACAAAGAGGTTGAATAACCTGCCTGTGCTTGGTAGTGGGGGAGGCATGATTTAAACCGAGGCATTCAGGCTTACGAATCCATACTCCTAACCATTACTTTCTTTATCACCTTCTTGAAATAAAAATGAAAACTTAACAATTGTGAGAATAAATTAAATGAGATAAACTATACAAAAAATACAACCTTTCTAAGCTAGGACAGCTCATAGAGCATCCAAACATTTTATTTTCTGAATCTAAATGTGACACATATGTATCATGATTTTCAAGTCATTGTTCCAGTTGTCAGAATCTTTTTGAATCCAGATCCACTTTTCTTATAACAGCCTTTGTAGCTTTGAATCAAATTTCAGTAAGCTTGCCTTTTCCACCATTGATCATTGATTAAAATGTTTAACTAAGTAAATATAAACCTTACATATTATTGTTCAGTCAGCTATACATTACTGCTGTTAACCAATATTTGTTCATCTTATACAGAAATCAGATGTCTTGCTTAGATGCAGACAATATATTTGAATTTAATGAGTCTCCTATTTTCTAGCAGATCATTCCTATCAAAAATGAAAATTGGGTTTATTTTCATGACTTACTTTCATGAAACCATCATTAGTAGTAGTTACCTCTTCACTTGTTAATTCCTCTGCTTTTAAAGTCTGCTTTTCCATGTTTTGAAAATAAGTCCAATAATTGCCTATTCCTAGTCCTAGAGTAACTTCGTGTTGTCTACAGCTCCTCAAAAAGGCTGGCGGTGGTTTCACATCAAAGTTCTTTGGCGCTGTGGAATGCATGTCTCTTGCTGTTTTCTCATCTGTCTTGGCCTCTGATTCTTTTTATTTGATTAAGTACTTTCTGGTTTGAAGACTTTCATTCAGCAAATACTTTTTGAATGCTTTCTATGTGTCAGGTACAGTTCTGGGCATTTGGAATACAGTATTCAGCAAAGTAGGGTCTGATCTGGTCCTAACAGTCGCTGGTAGAATAGGAACTGTATAGTCCTGCATTTTTCCAGTTTTGTTAACATGACCGTATTCCTTGTTTGTTTGTTTTTTCCCTTTCTCTGATCATAGTCTAAAAAAAACTTTTTTATTCTTAATATTTTTCTCAAACCTTAATTCCTTACTTGTTAAACCTCTCTAATATTTCTCTCAGGTTTACAAATGCTTTTATATCTAGCCTTGCTTAGTTGGCCTTCTTCCCATCATTTTTTACTGTTTCATTTTAAAATATCAAGTTAGCATAAAACTTTCCATATACATTAGTTTCTTTAGCAGAACTATCATTATTTATTCATTCAAAAAACATTTAGTGAGTTCCTACCCTGTACCAAGAATGTTGTACTGACAAAAGTATTTTTGAGAAATTTCCATCTTCCTTGAACATTCTGTCACATGCCAGGAAATCGGTTGTATTTTCATTGAACTTTTTGAAACCTGTTTACAGTGTATGACACATGTCTAGCCATTTATAATGTTCTCTTTGGGTGTTAAAAGAAATTAAAACAATAATTATTTTCTCCCAAAGGTCCTGTCATTGCCCATTTTTTTAAATCAAGTTCAAAATAATATTTCTTTCAAAAGGGTTGTATGAAATGTCCTAAGATACTCTTCTATTTTAATTTTTTTCTCACTCAGAATTTAAGTTTAGGTTATTGATACACATTCTCAAATTTGAATAAATGTTACTTTGCTAATCTTGTTTTGAGAGTATATTAGAAATGATTTTTTTTTCTTTTTCAGCTCATTTGATCCCTTCCAGTTGATACCTTGTAATTTTTTCAGTGAAGAAAAGCAGGTACTGTTTGTGCATCACTGAATGACCATAAGCAATGTCCTCCTGACAGACATGAAATACTTCTTCTTTTTCTCTGTGTGCAAGGCATATGTATGTAAAAAATTAGACAAGTGAAGGTGCATTAAGGGTTGTATAAGTGATACAGATAGAAAAAAAGACAATTCCTCTATGCTAGCATTTTCAATGATAATTTAAAGGGAAAAAAGTCTGGTTTGTGCTGAGTCATGATCTGTGGGGAGAACTTGGTGTGATAGACAAAGGAGAAAAGGATAGACATTCCAGTTAGGAAGAACAAAATCTCTATTTTTATGCTCCCCCATTTTTTTTTGTTTATATTTCAGGAGCCATTTCAGGTGAGAGTGGCTTCAGAAGCACTTTTAATAATGGATTTGGTAAGGATAATCTATTGTGTTTAGTTATTCTGATTTCTATTCTTGTGTATTTTTATTACAGGCTTAAGAGAGTATCGAAGACGTGTATTTTGGATCTTAACTATCCTCTTTTACAAGGAATCTAAAAATAAGTCTTTTCTTTTGGAGAAAAGCCAAACAATTGCATGTTTCCATATTTTAGAGAAAATTAATTAATGTGAGTTTTTGCAGACTGTTTGTCATCATTAACCCTATTTTCATTTCCTAGTATCCTTTGCCTGCTGCCTTCTAGATAATGGCAAAAAAGCACAACTCCTATAATTTGGAGGCTCATTGTTTAAACTACTGAGGCCTCCAATAGTTGTGTGTTTATTTGTAGTGTTTTTCTATAGGAGGACCCAGAGTGAAATTTATTTTGTGTTCTTATGATACCTTTCCTGAATAGGGAAAGCAAATGGTATCTTCATTCTGTAAATGAAAAAAATGGCATCTTGGAATTTCTGAATGTTTGGTTCAAAGCTTTCTCAGCTAGCAGTGAAGGCAGATCTGAAATCCTAAGTCTCTGTGCACTGAGCCTAGCATCTGGTTCCTCTACTATGCTACTTTATTTTAGAAAAGCATAGCGACCAAACTTAAAATGACTCTTCGGTGATAAGTGAGTTTTATTCTGATTTTTTTGTCCGGTGGGTTTGTATGTTTTGACTAAGTCTATTCTGTATTTCTTTTTTAGCATGCTCATGTTTCTATGGCAGAAGTGATTGGTCTGTTAGGAGGAAGATACTCAGAAGTTGATAAGATAGTTGAAGTAAGTTATTTTAAAATTTTTAAAAATTACTTAGTCCTACTACCATACCAAATATTCCAGTGGATATATTTAAAATATAGACTCTATCTATGATGCAAATATAGAACGTTATATATTCCCAGAAGTGACTTGACATTCTGTATTTTAAGCACCCGTTTCTTCTCACCACCAAGAAAGGAAACACTACCAGGCCTTGGTTCCTCATTGCCGTCACCAGTAAAAAGCTACCACTCCTCAGAGGCCAGGAAACATGTGCTAACCTTATAGTTGAAACTTGGTACACATCATTGTTTTGAAATTATTATAAATAATAGGGGTCATTGAAAGACTGTGTTGGTACAGATACCATGTACACAGGTTGACCTGGAAAACAAGCAGTCAATATAACATTGTTTGAGTAGAAAAATGGATTCTGAGTTTCTAGCATACAGTCACACTTTGGGAGTATAATTCACTTTAAGTTAAAACCTGCCTATATTATAGTCAAATAGAAGACTGGCTTTGAAAAGTTTCTGTATCTGTGTATGAAAGAACTAAATAAAGTAATTACCTGGATTTCCATGTAATCATAAAAGAATTAATCCTTTATAGGTCTGTGCAGCAGAACCATGTAACAGTCTGAGTACAGGACTGCAGTGTGAGATGGATCCTGTCTCACAAACACAGGCCTCGGAAACCTTGGCTGTAAGAGGCTATAGTGTTATCGGATGGTATCATTCTCATCCTGCCTTTGATCCTAATCCTTCCTTACGAGATATTGATACTCAAGCCAAATACCAGGTGTGTTTATAGGTCTTCTGTATATATAATCTGAAATAATGCATATTCTCTCCCCTTTCATTGCTCTCTATTAAATAAATACAGTTTAAACAGTTCTAGGAAAGTATTGCATTTATAATATTCTTGCATCTGGAGTTTTGAAATAGCTTGCATTTTTTTCTGATTATAAGAACAATAAATGTTTTAAACACTTGGAAAATCAGCTATTTTGTGTAATACAAACAAGCTATAAAACTAACAGTAATAATTACTTCCAGAGTTTAAAAATTGATGACAACTACAACAGGGACTTGGAACAATTAATATAATCAGAAACATAATATATTTTGCATCTAGTAAAAACAGTTTCACTCTGCAGTTTTGTGTTATGTGAATATTTTTGCTATAGGCAGCTGTAAATTATTACCATACTGATAAAGATTACCACCAAAGGGTAATGAATATGATTTGTAAATATATTTGTGGCAAATGAAGATTTTTCCGGCCAAGTATTCTCTATAAGGGTCTTTTCAGGTTAGGTTGAACATATTTTGGCCGGAAAAATTTAGAGTGTGGAATGAATATATACATTTCATTTCGTTGCTGTTTGGATTTGAAGTTTTTAACACACTCTTTGAGTTTGCTTTTCCTCCACTAGATGTTGAATATGTTAGTGTGGGTAAATACTGATATTTAAGTGTTTGTAGTTGAAACTAATTATACTTTTCTTTTAATTGTAGAGTTACTTTTCCAGAGGTGGTGCAAAGTTCATTGGAATGATTGTTAGTCCTTATAATCGAAGCAATCCTTTACCTTATTCCCAGATTACCTGCCTGGTTATAAGTGATGAAATTAGCCCAAATGGCTCTTATCGTAAGTTTTCAACAAAAACAACTTCATCCTATTTCTTTCTTCAGTTCTTTGAATCTTACAAATCAAAGAATTTTCAACTGTGCAAAACTATTTGATGGAAAACTTTGTGCCCTCAACTAGTGTATCACTGTTTGATACTGTGTAGTGCAGCCAACCCCTTTCCCTTTCATGGTATACTAGATTCAAGTATCCTCTTGTTACGATGGCCACTGGACCAGAGGGTTTCAGTGTGGAGAAAAGTTATAGCCAAGTGGTGTGTGTGTTAGGTACTGGAGACGTTGCAGTAAGCAAAATAGACAGTCTCTCTGTTCTCATGAAAATTTTTTGATAAATGCAGACTGGCTTTCTCTGCAGTGGTATTCAAATGAAAAAGAAAAATGACCACCCTACCACACTCTCTGTGACCTCTTGGTATAAGCTTAATCATGCCTTTTTTTTTTATGTCTGAGTTTACATTCTCTCTCAAGAAAGAATTTGGTTGATTTACCCCATCATATGACTTGATTCTTGTAAGGGTAATGTCTGCTTGTAGCCCAGTCAGCTCTGGCTGGATGGGAAATTAGTGTAGTCGACTAGGTAAAGTAAGGGAATGTAAGAAGGGAGCACGGACAGAAAGGAAAAGATGGAAGGAAACAGTCAACATCTCTAGCATATTCTTTCTTCTCCATCTTACTACCCCTGTCTACTCTAGGTCACTGTCTTCTCTGGATACTGTCACTGCACATTGTACCCTTTCCCATTAGCTCATGAACTCCTTGAAGGTAGATACTCTATTGTACTTGTTTTTCTATCCTCAAATTTCTAGCACAAGGCTTGGCATGAAGTAGGCACTAAATGAATGCATGTCTAACAAGTGAATTTCTTCATTCTTAATGATGTCTCTTATATGTGACACAGTTGTCACTCGTAATGTCATGCTTTTCTCTGGTTAAGACCCCAGTGCACCCCATGTCATTTACTGTTAGTTGCTCTGTTCTTTGTGCAACACTTGTTTCCTGCCTTCATGGTTGCTTTTGTCTTGTGATGTAATTAAACTGTTTAGTGTGTCTCACTGAACTGTGAGCCCCGAAGAGCAGCAGCTATGTTTTTTTTGTCTCTGTGTCTCCTGATCGATTGTCTTATACCTAGAAAGTGGTCAGCACTCTGTAAGTTTTCATTAGATGAATGGTATTGACATTAACTTTGGTCCAGAATGCCCATTTTGAGCGTACATCTTTATAGCCCAGTATAATTTTACAAAAAGATCCAACAGGAGGAATCACAGTCAACTTGTTCTCAATTTAAAACATTTCTTAATTTCATGTTCTGCTAGGTTTTAAGAGTGTCCCTCTACTCTTGATACTGTCTAATAGAGTAGTTACTAGCCACATGTATCCGTTTAATTAGAATTAAATGCAATTTAAAATTCAGTTCCTAGAATTCCGCATCTGGCCTAAACGAAGTAACAGGTACCTGCCTTGAATAACCAGTAACCTGGAAAAATATCTGAATTATGATATTTAGGACATACCATCAGGCAGTGAAGGGATATGTTTGCTGAGAGATGGGAAACAAATGAGGGGAAAACACGTCATTAGCTTACTGACAAGAGTTCTTAGGTGTGGAACAAGGAGGAGAAACTCACCCAGAGCCTGGACACACGGAGTGGAGGTGACAGAGGGAGACCAGGGAGATCCAGGCAACTAAATTTGCAAAACATGAGCAGAGAACCACCACACAGAGAGGAGACTCCAGAGACTTGTTTGGATTTATGGTACTAATGCAGTATGCAGCAAGATGCAGACCAGGACATGCATATGAAGAGACCATTGCATACAGGGGAAAGAATCTCTTGACAGGATTAAAAGGAACACTGCTGGATGCTCACATAAGCCACCACTGCACAGTGCACAAGTACTTAAGTGTTCTCATTTCAGAAAGTTCTGTTGGGCAGAAATGCCTCTCAAATGACCATTACCAACATTGCGTATTAGATCTTAATCTCACTTTGCTTCACTTGGAAACCCTCTGGTTCAAGACTTAAGATTCTTAGAAGCCATGGGATACCTTGTGTTAAAGTACCTTTAACTTGGTCCTGTCTATTTTCCTCCCTTCCTCCCTTCTTTCCTCTCCTCCCTTTCTGTTATGTATATACCAAATCCTACTTTAAACTGTCTCTAACGGTTAATTATTTTCTGTACTTGTAATTGGCAGGAAATGTATTTAGTGATTAGTTTTTTTCTGATATTCTAGTAGATAAAAATAGTACAAAAGGAAATTTTTACTGGTTTTATTGCCAGTTTTTTAACTTAGAAAAATATTCTTAATATGAAATACAGCTGTATATTGTGTGTTGTAAGCTTAATAAACTGTGTACAAAAAAATCACTGGGATAGAATATGTCTGGATTTGCCTAGATCAGTCCCAGTTTTAATCTGTGGTTCTGACACAATTATTAATAGTGTTCCCTTTCACTTAACATTCTCCTGGTTTAAATGATCATCCTACTTCTCTCAGTTCCTTGCATAGAGTTGGCATATAAATAACACTTCTCCATGTTGTTATTAATTGCTTGGCATTAATGTTGATGGAACAAGTTCAGCCAGGCAATAAATATTTAATGAATGTCCACTATGTTTAAGGTGTTGTTCAGCTCGTCTGCCAAGCTTTTGTTCTGAAAACACAGCAGGGAATTTTAAATAATTAAAACAATATTGGAGATTTAAGAAATAGTTGATAAAAATGTGCTTCTTTATGTTCTTCTAGGTTTACCTTACAAATTTGAAGTACAACAGATGTTAGAGGAACCTCGATGGGGATTAGTATTTGAAAAGACAAGATGGATAATAGAAAAATACAGGCTGTCCCGTAGGTATGTGCTATGGTTTGAGATGATTGCACATCTGCAGTGTTTCTCATTAAATTATGTTTTAGAGAAAACCTAAGTTAAATATAAAATTGTGACATATGGCATCAGTGATAGTTTATTATAAAACTGATTAGTTTATCGTATTTGTCTCATCAATTTGTTTCCATATTTCTTCCAACAGTAGCATTCCCATGGATAAAATTTTTCGCCGGGATTCTGACCTGACTTGTTTACAGAAAGTAAGCTTCCTTCATTTTTACTGGTTCCATTGTTCACAGATTCTAAGGCCATTCATCTCAGTAATATTCCCATGATGTCTAATGTTTTGTGGATACATTTCTGTGTAGTTCCTTTATTACTTTTTCTTTTCTAAAATTAATTTCTAGGAGATAATTAGTCATTTGTTTTGTTGCCCACACTTGCATATAGAAATAATTATATTTTATAATAAATTTGTCAGTGCTAGATGATAAATTTCTTAGATTATTATTGTACACAGTGGAGAACATTTTTCTCATTTTATTAAATTCAAAAGCACCATGTTTCCAAGTTTTAACAAGTAATCATTTTTAGGAATGGTTGTATGAATTTAATAAAGTTAAATGGTCATTTTATTTACTTTCTGGTAGAAAATAAGAGTCCTGAATTCTTTTATTTTACTTTATTTTTTTTTTTCTATGAGTATAAGTTAAGATCAGTAGACTGGCAACATTTATCTTTCTTTTTATTATTTGGTAACAATTTAGGAATAGAAATACAAGCATACTGTTTCTTTTTAATAATTTATACCCCCTCCTATACTAGCCACTTTCTCTTTGTTCTGTTGGAAGAGTAATATGCATGTTTCCCAAGAAATAGACTGTAGCATCCTAATTTGAAATGGTAGAGTTCTGTGTTTGTACATGGATCTTCTGTCCTACAGATTATTTCACTTTGTAAATGTAAAACGAGAAACAAAGCCACAAGTTTGGCCAAAGTGGAAAGCATCATGCTTACGGACTCAGGTCTGTCTTACATAAGATGATAAAGGAACTAACCTCAGCATTTGTCAGCAGTGGCTTCCATGACTCCAGCTGTTTAATTATTGAGCACAAATTTATCTTCAGACACATATAAAGGGAATGTTTCTCATTTGAGCATTAGAAAATATGAGCTTTGGAAAGGGATAAATTAATGATAGTAATACAGACTGTCTTATGCTTTTTGTTTATTTAAATATAGAACTTTTCTTTCCAACTAGCTTTTGGAGTGTCTGAGGAAAACTCTGAGCAGAGTGACCAATTGCTTCATCGCTGAAGAATTCTTGACTCAGATAGAAAATTTATTTCTTTCCAATTATAAAAGCAAGCAGGAAAATGGAGTCCCTGAAGAGAACTTCACTATGGGTCCAAAGGAATTATTAATGTAATTATTTTAAAGTAAGACATTTTAATATTGACATAGTAGGTCCTGCTTCCAGAGTTATAATCTTGATATTGTTGTAATTTAGTTAACAGAGGCACATATTTGATATTTTTCTCTATTTTTTGTCTAAGAGGATTCAAGATGGCAGTGTGAGAGGTGAGGCAGTAAACTCCTCCTAAAACCACAGATAGTGTGAAAATATAGTTAATACAACTAACCCTAAAACAGCAAAAAAGGGCCAAATGAAACGGAACTCACCAGTCTTCCTGAAAGAGAGTTCAAAATAAAAATCATAAACATGCTTATGGAGGTACAGGAAAATACTCAAGAACTCAGAAATGAATTTAAGACGGAGATTCAATCATTAAGAAATTCCATATCTGAAATGAAACATACAATGGAGGGATTTAAAAGCAGATTAGATGTAGTAGAAGAGACAGTAAATGGAATCGAAATTAGAGAAGAGGAATACAGAGAAGCCGAGGCACAGAGAAAAAAGAATCTCTAAGAATGAAAGACTATTGAGAGAACTGTGTGAACAAGCCAAAAGGAACAATATTTGTATAATAGGGGTACCAGAAGAAGAAGAGAGAAAAAGGGATAGAAAGTGTCATTGAGGAGGTAATTGCTGAAAACTTCCCAACTCTGGGGAAGGAGATAGGCTCTCAAGCCATCGAGATGCACAGATCTCCCAACACAAGGGCTGATACTTTTCTTTAAAAATTCACAAAATTCAGATTTTGCCACATAAGTCATATGATGAGAGAGCTAAAGACTTGTTTTCATACAGTGATTACCAAAGTGCTCTGCAGACCAGGGTCTGCTGCAGAGCTGCAGTCCTACCATGGCCAGTAAGCAATGCAGTAGACTGAATGGCAGTCTGCTTTACTGTTGTATCAGAGTGATAAGTGAAATATATCTCTAATGTGTATTTCTCCCTGAACTTGTCATCCCATTTTTGGTATCTCATGTCTCATTAGGAACACTTGCCTTCTTTCCATGTGTTTTGGTGAGATTTGTTTATGGTTGCAAATGAGATATAAATGGATGATCACTGAAGTAATTAACATGTTTAAGAACTACTGGTTTAATAAATCTTAACATGCTAGGGATAGCTGTGGAGCATAAGGAGAAAAATCTTAAAAACAGAGAAGTGAACCAAAGGAGAGAATCAAATTTTTGGTTTTTTAATTACAGGTACTTGCTTCCATTTTATTTTATAGCAGCAATACTCCAGGATATGCCATTTTCTCAGTTATCTGAAACATTTTGTGTTTATTTCAGTTACATCAAATAATTAGTTTCAACTATATGACCACTTACATTAGTACTTGTATTAGCGTGTGTAATAAAACTTCATTTTACTGGAACACAGGTAACATTCCCTTCAAACTAGAATTTTTTTTTTCCTAAAAAGGAAAAAATTACAAAAAAAGCTTAAATAAATCAGAGATACAATTTTAAAAACAAAAATCCCTTCCAGGCATATTCAGCCCACTTTCATATATTTTCTGAATCATAGATCAGCAGACTTTATATAAAGGGGCAGTTAGTCAGTAACAGGCTTTGCAGCCCTCATTCTGTCTCTATCAGATGTTCTCCTTTATAGTTTTGAAACTTTAAAAATATGAAACCATTCTTAGTTCATGAACCTCACAAAAAACACGTTGCTGGACTTTATCTTCCAACCCCTAATCTAGGGATTTAAAAGCATTCTAGGGAATTTCAAACATTTAGAATTTATTTTCAGATGCATGAGCCTGAGACACTGAAAGGTCCTGCATCATCTTCAAACAACAGCAAAACTCAAAATTGTGATTTACATTTAAGTACGTTTTCAGATAAAAGTTAGCAATCACGCTGCCTGATTGATCCTAATAGATTGTATGTAGAATTATTTACAAACATTCTTATTAATAATAGTTTTATTATATCTAATCTGGGTATGTTCTGTCTTTTTACTTTTCTTAGTTGTAACGATCAGTAGCCCAGGAAGAATATAGCAGTATTGGAAGGAGCAGTGAGCCAGTTTTAGGTGACCTGGGCTTTGACTCAACCTTGTGGTTTTGGGGGATATAGTTTACTTTCTCTGGGCTTAAATTCTTTTGTGTAACTGATGTTTAAATTATCTTTCTGGCACTCTAGGTCTAAGATCTTATGGTTTGTTCTAATTGTTGGACTACTCACCTGGAACTTTATATTTTGAGATGGTACCTTTCCCAAATTAACAAATGTTTTTAAAGAAAACTAGTAGTATTTTCATTTCTCTCTATGCATTTATGATTAACAATGGAACATAACATAAAGCAGCTACTTTTGGGACCAGGGATGTAACAGCTGTAGACCAAAAAATAGGAAACCTGAGTTCTTAGTATAATTCTGTTACCAGCTTCGCTGTATGTATAACTGTATGACAGTGATAAAATCACATAACCTGTCTGGACTTGACACTCTTCACCTGTAATTCAAAAATCTAAATTCTGTGATTTAGTATCTCCTTCCAAGAGCAGAAAGTCAGATTCTACAGAAAATAGCAATCCACTCCTTTGTACTCTTCCCTTTGACATATTTTCCTGATTGTACATTGGGAACAGATCCTAGAAAGTTCATATTAATTAACTTTCTTGATTGGCATTTCCCTGTAATGATAAATTTAGGTGATGGGAAATAGTGAAAATCATTAAAAGTTCTGTTTTCAAGTTGAGGTGCTCTGCACATCACTAGTTAACCATAATTACTAACAAGCCATGCTATGAGGAGCTCAAAGGTGGCAATCTTCAGAGTTTAAAGCTTTAAGAACACAATTTTTAAAATATTTACTTAGTGATTTTTCTGGTGGTAGAGTACATTTATCTCATAAAATATTAACAGAAGCATAAAATAAAAATATCTTGATCCTACTATTAAGAAAACTGTAGTTAACATTTTAGTATAAATCCTTTTTTTTGGACTGTATAATATTAGAACATTACAGTCTGTTATTTTCCTCCCCTCGTCCGGCATTCATTCTCCCTTTTTGCTTTTTTCTCTGATAATATCCTGGAAACATTTTTGCAGCTGCAGGTGCCCACATTCCTGTCACTGCCAGCCATGGGCTAGGTAGTTGGAGCCAGGGCCTTGGAGAAGCGCCGAAGTCTAGAACTAAGTTGCAGTGTAATTCAGGACCTTCAGGAGGCAGAGCCAACAGAAAACCTACCTCTGGTGGTAATGTTTACAGGACAGGAGAGAGGACTTGAACATGTCCAAGTCATCCCAGTTTGGCTCTTACTATTGCATAATGACAATACAATAATGAACTTAATTTTTATTTCTTTTTCCAGCTTGGCTAGTGGTAATTGATACTCACGCTTTGCCACTATTAGACTTAACTCTCTACTAATTCCAAAGTAACATTTAAGTAAAGAAAATCAGTGGAGTAAGAACAAGATCAGACTCTCCTCCCCCCTCCATTATTGACCCTATATTCAAAGCTGCACTATGACCTTCATGGGCCTTGTTTCTTCTTCTATTAAAAAAAATTAATATATTACAATTTTACAAAATGAAGAAAAAGAATTCTAAAAGTGTAACGTGAATTTACTATTATATGTAAATATGTCCCTCAATCTTAATATTCATATTTTTTCTTCTGAATCTAAAAGAAAGCATTTTCATGGGCCTCTAAAAAGTATTGTGGACCTGAAGCATGGTGCCTGATAGTAAGTTGGCCCTCCCTATATTCTGAAGGGTATCATTGGAAAAATGGCAGTGACTGCCTATAAAAACCTACCTCACAAACTCTAGGGTATTTTGCCACTGCAGCCAAGAAGATTGCAGTTCCCATGGCATTAGATCTATAGACTTGCACTTAGTTCTTTACTGACTTGACCAAAACGTAAGAGTATTACCTGGGACCATTCATCCTCAGAGAAAGACTGGAGGCAGAAGTTAAGAGTTTTCAGGTACATATTTTGGTTAATGATCCTTAATCTATAGTTTTGAAACTAAAACCATATATCCTACCACTTTGCCTTTCATCATTTCCCTCACGCCCTTTTCTTCATCCCCACTGCACTTCTTACCTGTCAGCATATAGGTTGAAAGCATTCTGTCATTTGTTGAAAGCAGGGCTTGAAGAGCAGAGATGAACAGACCCATTCATATTTCCCAAAAGTTGATGAATGCTGACCCAGCCTCCTCTGCAGGACTTTCCTCCCCAACAGGAATGGGGTGAGGTGTGTGACCTGCAGACTGAGAGCCGGTCAGAGTCTCTGCAGCTGTCTGGGCAGCAAAGGAGACTGTGGCCTCAGCGTGCCCACCTGAGCAGCACTCTTGCTTTAAAGCTGCTTCCTGTCTGTGCAGGCCCTCATGAGCTTCGAGCTATAGGACCTGAGGGCGTTGATAGTCAGGATGCCCTAGACTGATGCTTTGTCCTGAACCCACACTAGAGCGATAGGGCATGACCACTTGGAATGTAGCTACTGGTCCTCAAGTCATCAGCAGGCAGCAGGCATCCAACTGATGGATTTCAGAGTAGAAATGAAGTCAGGGTGCCCACAGTTAGTTTTTTTTTCACCTACACTCCCCTTTCTCAATAGTAGAGACTAAATCTAAAGTCACGTATTATGACATTTAGGAAAACTTAATTCACCCAAGCACAAAGAGAAAAGCATATACGTTTTAATTATCATCTGCTCCCTCAGGGTTCATAGAAAATTTAAAAAGGAAATTTGACCTGCACCTTGAGTTTACCATAGCTTAGTAGTGTTCTTACAAGTTAATACCATATCTTGCAGTATTTCCAGAAAATCACTGTGGAGAATAATGTAATATTATTTTAGCTTAATTCCTGACCTTTTTTGAAATAGTTTTATGTGTACTATTCCCCCAAACTCTGCTTTCTCTCTTTTCTAATTTAACCTGTAATTTGTGCTTTCTGGTATCTTCTGAATCTACCTTTTAAGCTACCTTAAATCCTTTCTGGAACAAGACAGAATAAATATGTTATCCCCTTAAATCAGGAGAAAGGCAAAATACTGCACAAAAGCTGTAATTATGCCTGGGGCTCTATACCAAACCAAATTTGAGAAGGTAAAATAACTTAGGATATCTAGGCTCTTTTTATTTTCTTCCTTTGAGTGTTTTTAAGAATATGTTCATAAGAACTTTAGGGGAAAATGCCTGATTTGTTATCTTTGAGGTTTCCTAGAGTAGCCTCTTAGGATTTAAGGTCTATTAAGTATG